ACTACGATTACTACTACTACGACGACTACTTCTAGTGCTACTACTACTACTACTACTACTACTACTTCTGCTACAGTTCTGCAACTAGTACTACTACTGCTGCTACTACTACGACTACTACTACTACTACTACTACTACTACTAATACTACTACTACTACTACTACTACTACTACTACTACTACTACTACTACTTCTGCTTTCTTCTTCTACCAATAGCATAATAGCATTATTAATATTACTCCTCCGCCTCCTGCTACTGCTACTGCTACTGCTGCTTCGTCTTCTACTCCTACAACGACACAACAACCTGTCGATAAAACTGTAATGATCAGAATCGTCGAGTGATCTCCGCAAAGTGAAACATACAAGTGAAACCCACAAGATTCAAGAGCGTAGCAGAAGCAATCGCCACACCAAGTGGAACATGTTAGCTGACAACGGTGGCATTGCGGGAAATGTATGAAAAAAATGAACACTGATGCATTGGATTCTTGGCCGGCTGCACACTGCCAAGCTACACCTTTTGCATGGCTGTCCACGAGCCGTTTCTTCTGCAAGAGGAGGAGTTCGTCATCTTCGTTGGCTACACGCATGGTCTGTTGGATGAAGATGCCTGTGATAACCTGCGGGCACTGGGTTTTTGTTTAGCGTGAAAGTGCAGGCAGTCCCTGCAAGCTAGAAGTGGACAGCAGTCGCGTATGCTTGACGTGCGCGGCCTTCAGCACGGCAAAGCCCACTACAAGCTTGTAAATAAGAATCGCGACCTGATTTCATCATACAATGTACACTGTCACTCCGATTTGATCTCCTCAGAGGCACCGGCTGCGAACCAAGCACTGACATTCTCCATCAGAGATCGCGCAATGCCTGGCAGCACGACACCCCCTCCTCGGTGTTTGTGGAGAGCTGCTGCATTTGCACAAAGAGATACGGGCCAGCCTGAGTAATTGGCGAGCGTTAGTTCAAACATTGAGACGATTGCCCGGCCCACGGTTCCGAACAGCATCCAGACTTCTTGCCGAACGTTCTCATCCGAACTGCTGGAAGCTTCAATCCTCGGCCAAGCATATACATGGAAATACTCTTAAACTGAAAAAAGAGAAGAGCCGGGGCGAAGATCGGTATGATCGGTGTGACATCTCTGAGCTATGCCAAAATGGGAGGAAAAGCGCACACTGCCATCAGAATGAAGCATCAGTGTCCCAAGTCTCACACACACACGCACATGCCTTTTCATAGCGCCTTAAGCTTTCGTGCCGAGCCACCAACCCTGCAGGAATTGTGCCAATGCCAGAGCACAAACCGTCATCATAATAAGGAGGACGAGCGCAGACCTGCACTGTAATAGCTACGCAGATCTGAAAATCTGGCAAGATGCTTTCAAAAGGTGAGCAACAAGGGCGAGCCGGGCTGCCATGCCAAGATATCGAAAGACGCCCTGATCGAGCCCAACAGGAGGTGAAGCGAGTCAAATCGCTGAATGACCTTTAACACTCGCACCTTGGCTGCATGTATGCTGCCAAATTTGAACAGCCCGAGCATCATTCCAGCAAAGACACGATTCGGCCGAGCTTTGCTATCCTGGCAGCGGCGATAAACCTCTTCCCACAAAACAGGCTGGAAGCTTGCCGCCAAGCTTCCGCATCATGCGAAACCTCGGTGCAGTCTGGTAGATTCTCTCCTCACTGTTGGATTCCATGAAGCCACTTAGTTGGAAACACCATTGGATTGATCTCAACCGCAAGCCCTCCTGCGTCGACTGCCCAGGTCACAACCTGCATGTGTTTCTGGACTGCCCTACTCTCAAGTACACACATGACATGAATGACACGCGATTTTTCATTCACAGTTGTCACTGAACTGAGGGACTTGCAATAAACAGGTCCAGCAAGTTCCAGCCAAATTTCCAGAAATCCAACAACCCATAGGCAACGAATTTGACGAGGATCTCGGCTGAAAATATAAAGCCAAAGACAAGCTCAATGTTGTAGAAAATGTCGTTGTAGTCAGTGTCCATCCCGGTTTTGATGCCCAAATTGGTGGCCAGAAACAACCCAAAATACTCGATCTGAACCATCATGGACACGCAATTCAGGAGGATGAGGAAGACAAAAATGAGCTCGAACACGTAGCTGGTGACGACTCGCCGCAAGCAGGGCACCCCCCTCAGAAGCATCTCCAGGGGAGTCTTTTCTTCAAAAACCACTGAGATTGTCTTGTGCCTCTCAGCTGGAACCTTATGGGCAGCCATGTCATGTCGACCACTGAAACATGTAATGGCACAAGCGTGGTGAGATAACATTGCTAAATTAACACACCTAGCCTAGCGGCATCATCAAACTCTGGCATCGTTGCCAGCATGGATGATTTCATGTTCTTCTTCATCTTGTCCACCAGTGATTGCTTGTTTCGGTTTCCGAGAAGGTTCACTATTCTTGCCGTCGCAAGCTTCCATCTCATCTTGGCAGCACTTCCGCTCTCAAGCGACATTGCGGCTGCTGCGGCATTGGCAACCTGCCAGTCTCTACAGCACATGCTGGGACCGTTCTCGGCACGTCACGGCCAGAAAAACTGAACATGCGCAGAGCCGCAGCGCTTTTGTGGTCACTGATCTGGACAAACGCAGAGGCTTTCCACTGGTTCAGCTCCTCCTGCAGGGCAAAACCACGGATTCACCGCAGGACCCCTGCAGACACATACAAGAGCGCTTACTGTTTCCGTGTCCCAGCGTCTCGCTCTCTCTGCAGGGTCTCGGCTAAGGTCTTCAGCCTGGCCCTCTCGGCGTCAATGGAGCCCTCAGAGCGTTAGCTTCGCAAGATGTCGCGCAGTTATCTCGACCAAGACACCCCAGCTGCGCCACCAAAGTCCTGCGGAGGTGTACATGTCAGGCATAGCAGCAGCCGACTCTGGAGAGGCCCATCTGCAGCCCAAACGAAGAATGACAACATGTCGACGAATGTCAGCGTGCAGTCCTGTGATGCCGACAAGACAGCCTCAATTCATGTCAGTGAATCTAGTGAAGACATGAACACAGGCAAGGCTGGCAAATGGATCCATGAGGCCTTCTGCATCTCGGACTTGGCATTCTTAGCCTCCAATGGCGGCAACCCAAACAAAGCGCCGAAGCAGCAGGGCTCACTCTGTGGCCTGTAGTTCGCTCCAATCTTGGAATCTTTTCAGCCTGAGAAGCTCGGAGGACGGTATGAAGCGCACCGACCCTGTCCACTTAGCAAAGCCGCAAGTGACGATGGTGATCTTCCATGTGCTTCACCATGGCCGCCGCCATGGCGGCTCGTTCGCTCCTGAGCACCTCATCCAGCCACCTCAGAGCCCACCAAACCTTTGGATTCACCGTGCACCTCTTCCTTTTGCGGCGTATGCGGTCTTGCAGGCAGGATGCGCAGAGTTCGCCCTCGTGAAGGAGGAGGGGCCTCCACGAACCACGCGCTGGACGAACGGCCATACAAACACACATACGCACACAGAAACACATACCCACATGCACACGCATGCGTAGTGAACCCGACCAGTACACCATCCGTGACCTGAGCTTGAGGGCGGATTTGCGTCTGGCTGCGGCATGCCAATCCGGGAAATTCGAGTTTTGAATTGAAGCGGCTACGCAGGAATCATGAAGCATCACAGGTTGGAAGGTGCTCACACAGGTGGAGTCTATGCTCCTGCAGACAAGCAGTAAGCGGTGGACATGGGCTCTCCCGAGACAAGTTCCCAGCCCAGCACTCCATGCAGCAGCAATCAAAGGACTGGTCCATGCTCTCACATCGCCGGAACCTCGCGCTGTAGCGGCCTCAGCAACGCACTGAACTGACGGCCGTGGCAGGCATACCTGGCCTGCCAAATCCTCACGTTGAGACTCGCCCGTGTGTTTCTTTTCTTCTTTCCAAAGCAGCGTGCCCTTTCAGCGATAGGCGATAGGGCTTCGTTTCAGTACGACGGTGCCGCTTCCTAGCAGCTCGACGCGAGCCCAGCAACACCTGCTTTAGCCGAAGAGCGACATCGACTGCAGTGTCAGCTTCGCTTCGATTTTAGTCTTAAAATGTCTCTGAGATTGTCGGATGTAAACACTGTCTTCTCGCTAAGCAGTGCGAGCCTTCCCTGCCCTCTCACACTCGCGGCTGCTCAACAAGAAAAAGTCTGGTATGTTCATGCTTGCTGGCTGTTGTAATAAGTGTGGCACAAGCTCCTGCATGTCGAACTCGTAGCTTCCCTTCACGATACTAGCCTCGATGCACAACCAAATGCTGCTACCCGCAGGGGGACACAAATGCATATAAGATGTGCTGATAGCTCGGCTCATGGCTGCAAACGCAATCAGCAAAGACTCGCTGACGGTTTGCAATGTCGCGCACGTCCAAACCTCAACAAATGCTGTTCGCTTAACGTACTAGCGCTTCCGCACATGGGCTATTCGCATGTTTTCAAGCATTCAAGCGGATGTGCAAGAGGGCTTCGCCTCAAATGTCAGTTCATCGCGCATGGACACGGTAGACTCCGGCAGCTTCAAATCATATCCGATCCAGGCACGCACAGTGCCAGCATCAGCCCTTCGGAGAACTCTCGACTCCACAAACAGAGGGCGCAAAGCGAGCTGTGCTTGCATCCACCACGTGGTTCTCCAGCGCGATGCACCACGGAGAGAATTGACTTCTGTGACTAGCCGCGCGACGAAGCCGGGCACGACATGCGCATTCTCCAGAGTTGTGTGGGATAGGCGGCGCATGGCACTGGGCTGGACAAACCTTTTCAGTCGTAAGGAAGCACTGACAGGGCTGAGAAAATGGCGGCACCAAGCAGGCTCCAGCAAAGAAGTTAATCCAGCCTTCATCCAGGAATCATGTAAAATGGTGATGTTGTGTGCACCTTTGCTTGTGAAGGCTGCGCTGCCGTTCTCTGGACGCATGTGCAGTTTGCAATAAACAATCTGACCAAAGATGTGCAGATTCTCCACCGGGCGATGCTGACATTCCATAGTTGCAGTGGCCAGCACTATTGTTTCCGCATCGGCCTCTCGCCAGCGCTGAGACCATCCACATGAATCCTGCAGCAGTTGAACTGCCTGTTGCCACGGAGCACCGTCCAGTAAAAACATCAGATGTCGATGAGAAATTGCGTTTGCGGCCACGTGTCGCGAAGCTGCATGGTCAAGCAGAGCAATGCCTGCTTGCCAACAAGCTCCACCCCTGAAGCCGTATAACAACCAGTTGTATACTTGCAATTTAGGCTCCTGGTTTTGACATGCTAACGCCAAGGCTTCTTGCCATCTGAAACTTTTGGAACATGCACTTACCAGCTCCATCATGCCAACTGAGTCGATGGTCTTTGCAATTTTCCATCCAGCACACAACTCCAGAGCGAGATCCCATCGATGTGCTTTTTTGAACACCCCGAGCACGACGTTGGTCAAGACGTCGGTGTTGTCCCATGTGCACGGCACATGCTGCAGCAATGCAAGAACCTGGACCCACCTGTGTCCTACGCCCAATGCTGCACACAAGGACCCAAATGTCCTGACGGTGGGCTGCAACCTCTGTTGACGAGCATGCCTGAAGCACGAAAGGGCATGCTCCCAGTGATGCCGGCACGCATGGATGCAGATGTTGAAATTCACGATGTCAAAAGCCGTGCACCTGTTGCTGTCTCAAACATGGGCTATGTGTTGCGCAATTTGGGACTAGCACCTAGGAAAACCACAAGACAAGCACCTGTTCCGCATGGTGCCCAATGCGGACAAGCACTGCTCCCATTTGCGAGCACGAGCCATGTGATACAACTGGTTGGCGACAGCCATCGCGGTGATCCACGGCTGACAAGCCTCGGTCAGCAATCCAGGACACTATTAATGGTGTTTGCGCGTGGTTCGCCAGTATAGAGAGGTGAAAAACGAAGAGACACAGCGCAACTGTAAGCCCCACACGCTCTAAAAGCAAGGAATCATCACATGTCAATCGAATGGTCGCCACGCCGGTCCACGAGAGACATGTTGCTTCCGTGGATCTGAGGGCGGCCGTCGCTGACTTCCCGGAAAGACTTTTCATAAATTTGGCCGCCACGTACCTGATGCAAGGACATCAAGGACGTTTATCGAAAAAACGGATCGACAAGCTTGCGTGCACGTGTTCCAGCATTGAAAGAAGTGCGATTCAGCCGATCCATGGATATCTATCTACATGCACCAGTGAATGTGGCCGAGACCCTTGGCTCGCGAGACATGCGAGGCCCACAAACCGATGTGACAGGTTTGAAAGGGACCACCCTGAAAAGCGGCAAGAGCACGCGTGATAGACAAACTTTTCGATCACAATGCTCCTAATCCGAGTGCTGCTACTAGCCCGTTGTGTTTTGCCTCTGCTCGCACGAGCTGCAAGGGAGAGATTGAGGAAAAGTCGCGCAGGACAGTTCCACCCCGTTTTCGGCAAAGCAACATAATCTGTACTGCATCATGTAGCATTTGATTCTCCGTTTGCCCGTCGCTGGTCCGCCATGATTCTCGCAAACTCGCCTTTACGACTGTCGCAGCCGCAAGGCCGCAATGCAACATCCTGCGAAAACATGTGATTTCCAGGCACCCAACGCAGCTGCGCAACCATATGTACATGAAGCACATCCCACGCGAAGTCGCACGGCAGAAGTCGCAACAGGCGGCCCCGGAGCGAAATGATGTCTAGCAGCATAGCACTGGAGGCTGAAGCGACTGAACAGGCGAATGCTACAGCCACCCAAGTGCAGGGGAGAAAGTGCAGGTCGCCTTGGCTCAATGCTGCGAATGCGGTCCGTTCTTTGGACGCCCGCTGTGCGCATTTAGCCTTCTTGTCGAAGCGCCCGGATGTTTTATGGCCAGCCTTCCGTGCATAGCTCGGAGGTCATGGAGGGCAGGAGCGAGAGCGACCGAGAAGAGGGCCGACATGAGGGGGTCGCCTTGTTCGCCGCCCTCCGATTGGCTTATGCGGTGCGAATGCTCTCCGGCGCACCGGACGTAGACAGACTCGCGCATACCACAAGCGCGCGAAGGGCAGTAATGGTGAGAGAGCCTGTGATTTTTTGTTTCCGCACCTTTATACGTCCGCCCAACGTGTCCGACGGTCGGTATACCTACTAGACGCCTACACGGCGCTACTGAAGCGGCAGCCGGCTCAGCGGCGGCGGAGCTGGCAACGGCTCACTGCAGGGCAACCGACAGCACACTCCACCAGCGGCGCGCCCAGCCCGAGGCACGCAAGGGTGGTGGGGCGCGTTGGACACGAAGCCGCAATAAGGTGCGGAGGAGCTGCTGGCACTCGTCACTCCAGCGGCCCCCGACTTCTGCTGCGAGGACTACGAGTCGTTGAAGTTCCCCACCTCTATCCTCACCGCTATCCTGACACCACCAGCGCCGGTCTTCTTGCGCTCGTCGTCATCCCTCCCCGCCTCTATATATCCTCACCGCATCTCACCGCTATCCTCACCCATTCTGTTTGGATCAGGAGTGAAGAAGAGCAGTGAGGCCCGCGAGGCTACAGCGACTGTGACGGCCTGGGGCGCTGCGGCGACTGTGAGGGGCACCGGGAGGCTGCAGCGACTGCTGGGCTGCAGGCGACAGGGCGCCCGCAAGGCTGGGGCAACTGTGAGGGGGGATCTGGGAGCTGCAGCGATGCGGCGGCTGTGAGGGCCTGGGACTGTGAGGGTCCGCTTGGGTGCACCGACTGAGGGGCGGCTGCAGCGACACTGTGAGGGCCTGGGAGGGCAGCACCGACTATAAGGCCGTGCGACTGTGAGGGCACCTGGGACCTGCAGCGACTGTGAGGGCACCTGGGGGCTGCAGCGACTCGCCCGCGCCGTCGCCGCTTCCGCGTCGTCGTGTCGTCGTCGCATCGTGGCTGGCAACATTTGGCTGGCAACATTTGGTGCGGCTCGGTGGCAACTTTGCGGTGGCAACATTTGGTGCGGCTCGGTGGCAACATCTAGGTGGCAACGTTTCGGCCGTGTCCTCCTCGTCAACACGTCGTCGTCGCTCTGTCGTCGGGTCGTCGTCGTTGTGGTTGCGTGCTCTGGCTTGTTCAGCGGTCAGGACTACTTTCCAGCAGCTTTAAGTACAAGTCTGGTAGCTCGCGCCACTTGCATGGACATCGAGCCTTTTGATCTGCGCTTTGCCAGAGCTGCCCTGACAGACGACATCAGGGGATTGTGCGACAGGGTCTTCGACCTTGAGGCAGAGTGCGCAGCTCAGAGAGTGGAGATTTCCCGCTTGCACGGGAGACTCCGCCGCTTGGAGGGGCGCAGCGACGACGATGCGGCGACGACGACGCGACGACGAGGCGACGACGAATACGCGGTGACAACGACCGCGCCCGCATGGTGCCACCGAAATGTTGCCACCGAAATGTCGCCACCGAAATGTCGCGACCGAAGTGTCGCCACCGAAATGTCGCCACCGAAATGTCGCTACCGAGCCGCGCCGAGGCGGGACACGACGACGCGGCGAGGACGAGGCGGCGACGACAACAGCCCGCCCCCGCTGCAGCCCCCATGTGCCCTCATAGTCGCTGCAGCCCCCAGGTGCCCCTGCAGCACCCAGGCCTCATTGCTCCCCCTCACTCCTGACCCAAGAGGATGGGTGAGGATAGCGGTATAGAGGACGACGAGGCGACGAAAAGCTGAAGCTATAAAAGAAAAGTAAGCTGTGCAAAGCTGTGTTGTTGCCGTGGTGTCCCGCTCGAGCTGTAAAGCGGGCGACGGGACAGGACTTCACCAAAACCCTCCTGAGTAAACACAGTGACCCAACTGCGATGCGACTTCGGAAAAGGCTTGGCATGCGTCGTCGTCATCCAGCACTACCCGCATGATATCCGTTGTGAAACCACAGGGCCCTGGGGCGGCTCCTTTGCGATCACGGCGGAGGTTGGCAATCAAGGCAAGGCGATCAAGCACGACCGGCTCAGGCGGCCGCCATGCAGTAAGGTCAGGGTCGTGGGGCCCATACAGTTCGGGGAGGCGCCGCTGGGCGTCGGCCAGGGCAGCGTGTGTTTCTGCAGACGGTGGTGCAAGGGGTTCTGCCAGCAAGGCCTGCCGGGCGTCACGCCCCCAGGAGGTCGGTGGAGCAGCATGCGGGGTGCAAAGAGCAAGAGTTTCCACGCACGAGTCTTGTCAGCCTCACTGGCTGATGCAGCTTCCCTGTTGGAAGCGTCAACAAGTTCGAAGGCGAGGTGCAAACAGCAGCGCAACACGCCTTGGCAGAAGTGCGGCGGCACACGGAACAGCCAGCACGGCTGCGCCAGAACATCCTCGGCTGAGAAACGGTCAAGGGTCGCCAAGGAAGCACGGAAACGTAGCTGAGGGCCGGTACCAGTGTGCTGGTGCGCTGTGTCACACGGCATGTTTGCATCGGGCGGTGGCAGGAGGTGGCATTGGTGGCTGTCTCCGACGCAGGGTGGGAATCCGAGCTAGAACTACTAAAGCTGGAGGAAGAGCTAGAGCTAGGGGAACCACCCGGCACCTCAGGGATTGCCTGGGCAGAGGGGGGAGGGGATGTGAAGGAGGACCGGCACCCTCGCGATGAAGTGCCGCAACCTCTTGCAGGAGTGCTGATGCCGCCGTTTCCCCCATGAAAACATGTAGCAATGCCTCCTGAACGGTTGCCGGGATGTATCCGTCAGGCAGTGTGACAATTTGCCAGGCCCAAACCAAATGCACCAAGGTGTTGTCAGGGAGGGTGTTGGCCTCGGCTGCAAGGGTTAGCAACAGATGGGCTTCTGGCACAGGCACGGCTCGGCCATCCTGGGCAGCGAGCTGCTGTAAAGTATGCAGGGCATGTACCAACGCGGCGGGTTCAACAGGCGGTGCTTGACGCAGGGTGCCGAGGGCGTGACGCCACAGCACCGAATAGTGATCATGGGTTTCCCACGCTGCAATTGCGGTCGGGTGGAGTCGCCCAACCGCTGCATGTATCAGCGGCACGAATAACCAGCTGTTGGTGCCTCCGGCAGCAATAGCGTCGGCGGGGCCTTGGTTGCACCACGCTGCCTGGACGGAGCGGGCCGTCGACACTGCTGGTTGTTCCGGGGCACTAGCGCCTGGCGCAGGTTGTGGCAACTCTGGGAGTGGGACGCGTTGCCCCGGACAAGGGAGCACTTCTGGAGGGGATCCCCGGCAGCAAACCCATCCGCGGCAAAACTCGCGCAAGTCCAACGCGAGCCGCCGGGGGCCGTGAGCAGGGCAGATCGGATCGGTGGTTCCGGCACATGCTGTAACAACGGATGGTCCTGGTCAACGGTGGCATTGCATCGCAAGCAGACCCACTCCGGTCTCCAGTGACCGGTTTGCCGGCAGTGGACAGGGGCCCAGTGCATGTGGCGGTCCGGCAAGTCCTGCCAAGCGGCATCCGTGTTGGCATGCAGGGCTTGTGCTTATGCAGACAACGGGCGAGATATGCATCGGCAGATTGCGAACTCTAGACATAAACAGCACTGCGTCGAGCACGGACATCATGTTTGTGCTGTGTGACAGCTTGCTTGTAGAGACCTCGGCTTGATTCAGCTGAATGTTTCAGAAATGGGTTGGAAGGGTCTGCGTTCCTGCGCTTACACGCAGCCAACAAGTCCTGAAATGACTGGCGAATTGCAAGGGGCACAGGCCGAGCGTCACTTCTAGTCGGATTGGGAAGCCACCAACGCAAGCAATCCTCTTGATGTAGCTTGTGAAGCTGAACCGCAATCCGCCATTATCAGTAAGTCTGGTTGGTTGTCATGTGCCGCCATGGATTACAAAACCATTGCACGCGACAGCCTCAAAGAACTGCGTGATGCGCTGCTTGAGTGTGCGTCTCTTGATGCTGCATCAAATCACTTGCTCTGGGCTTTTTTTTGCGCATGCTTCAGGATGCAAAGTTCTGTCGTTCGGTCATTGCCGATGCCGGCAAACCTCGCACTGTCAATCCCCTGCCTCTGGCTGTGGCAGTCGCGGATGAACTCAGCTGCTTCTGTGGAGATTGGGCCATTAAATGTGACGTCAAGAAGCGTCAATTTCTTCAGTGTCGCCGGCGCGCTCAATCCACAAAGAAAATGCGTGTCATGAAGGTTGCTGCAGCACAAGCTGTCCAATTCAGCGGTGGGCCACAACACAGCCTTGGGTGCGATGCTGAACTTTGGACTTTCAGGCGGAATGGATCCGTGCGGCACGTCCTTGGCCTACAATACGTGGTATGGTGCATGTGGGTATTTGCACTCCCTACAAGTGCAAGTGGCGTTTGCGGTTGGTTGCCGTAAACCGCCGGGCCTTGATGTGCAGAGTGCCTTGCCGGGCCTCCCATATATTGTTGATGGTTATGCAAGTGCCCATTCTGACGCTGTATCTGTCTTGTACCTCCCTCTGCTTAGTCAGGTTTTGCAGTGGCTCCCCCATGTTTCCAAGACGGGCCGGACATGTTGGATGACTTTGGCTGGTGTGGAGTTTTGGGGCTGCGTTTACCTTCCCCCACTGTCTTCCGCATGGAAGGAGGAACGCCTTTCCTTGGTACCTGCATACTTTGCCGAGTGGGATGAAATTGATGCTCAGAGAAGGAAGCAAGCAGGTGCTGAGACGCTATCACTGATGCATGGATGTGGCGACCTCAACATGTCTTCCGATATCTACGATGCCTTGGTGGCGAATATGGTACGACGAGGCATTAACTGGACGTCGGACACACAGCCTCTGCAGCTGTGGGGCAAGCTCTCGAGACTTGCAGCTGCACTTTGGCCCTGGGCCAAATTGTTACACCTAGTTTTTTTTTTTTCCCCCACACCTTTTTGCGGACGGTACAAAAGCGGTCCCAGTGCACCTGCAGACTACGTGGCGCGAGCAGCCTGGCCTAGCTTCTCGCCGGGAGGCGGCT